GGGGGGGGGGGGGTTCTATATATATATATATATATGTTGTCATCCCGGCCACTGGGCTGAACGCAGGGAGGTGGGTAATGAGTATGGGGGTTTGTTGTCATCGGCGTGGTGACATTGGTAAAATAGGTAGTAAACGGATGGTGACGGACGTTGTTCGCTGCCTGTGTTGGATACGACTTGCTCTTGTCGCAGAGGTTCTGATGGTAAAAGTTTAGCTTGTTGGGGAACTCAGCAGTCGGGAGGAAAAGAAGAGACCGAGAGAGAACGAGTCAGTCATGGATGGATGGATGCGTTGAAATCAGGAAAGAAGCTTGGCACCGCCGTGCGTACGTACTTTCACCCCCGTGTGCTTGGCGGTTGGGAGAGATCTGTGCGGTCCAGTCGCAGCCGGCGGCACCAACGTGACTACGGCCAGCTATGGTTGCCACCTCCACCATAATCTGCCAGGAGGTGAACAACAGGTGATAGCGAGCGGCGTTGTTATCGGCAGGCCGCTTTTAACAACCCAAACATGCAGCAAACATAGTGTGTAGTTCGTCAAGTATTGAATTTCATTGGCCAAATAGCAAAAGTGAGGGCGTTTTTCGACGAGTCTTTCTTCCTTTCTTCTGTTCGGGTGATGTCCTTGTCGCGCCTCGTGTGTACGAATTGCGTGTCCTTCCTTGCTGTTGTTGGAGAAGGCAACCAACCGTTGCTACTTTCGCTCCTCACGTACTCACCTAGTACCAACTCTAAAGGTGTACTGTGTGTCCTTGTGTACGTACCTCGTCGTGCTTGCAGGTACAAAAAAAGTTTCCTCGTCAGTATCGTAACAACGCCGTTTATGTTCTTGACCTCGGCACACCCCTATCCTAGAGAGGGATTTTTTTGCTTGGTCTTGACCCCCGTTCCCTAGGCAAGGCATAAGGTACCTCTCGCCGCATGGATGGATGCATCGGGGTTCGAGGTAACGTTTTTTTGTGTTGGCATGAGCGTGCTACAAATATAAGTACTATTATACCTCCGACGCTGGCAGAAAAGAATATTGAGCAGCAGCAGCGAGCACTGACTGTGATCGACTGTGGGAGAAGATGGCGCCGATTGTAGTGCCTGCCGTTTGTTCAGACAAGTTGAGATTTGATGAAAATCAACTCTCTTGTGTAGTACTGAGCTCATTGAATACCAACCAGCTCATGGTGCCTCAAACGAATACCGAAAGGCCTGATGAGTACGTAACTGACGCCTAGAAATCATTAGACAGAGGACCGACACACACACATCATATCGATCGAGAGAGAGAACCACACGCCACAACAAATTAATCATGGAAGGACAAGAAGAGCTAGAAGATTTCTCCTTATATCTATCTATCTATATACCATCGAGGCCACCGTGCGCAAACGGAGACTGTGTTTCGCGGGCTTCGTTATGCGCATGGAGGACAACCGCCTCCCCAAGCGCATGCTGTTAGGAGCAATGGCGGGGGGCGTGGGATACCGGGGCGGGCAGGAGAGCGACTGGGTGTCTCGTCTAGGAGAGGACCTCGTGGCCTTCAACATGGGAGACGAAAAGGAAGGGGGGAAATGGAAAGAGAGCGCCAAGAACTCGGAGGTGTGGTACAACAAGGTCGAGGACGGGGCGGCATGGTTCATGAGGAAATNTTTTTATTTTTTTTGTTATTTTTGTTTTGTTTTATTTTGATCGGTGTCCGAGGGCTCTTTTCTCGAACAGTAGGTGCGATACCTGTTCTTTTCTTTCTTTCGATCATTTTGTTTTCTTTTTCCGAGTGGTTTGTATCCTATTTTTGTTTTTTGTTTTCTCGCGGCGTCGTATGTGCCGGGTTTTGAGACCACGGGCTCCCCATTTTTTGTGGACTATAGAGCTAATGTGAGAAACAACAACAACAAACAAATACCTACCGCCTTGCCACGACCCCACAGCAGTATGTACAAGTAGACTTTTTTTTTTGCGGTCGGGGAAGCAGGGAGGAGGGAGGGGGCTGGACGAACGAGAGGTCGACTGTCGGTGGATAGTCTACCCACCCGCGGCCGACCAAAATATTACTCCCAACTACATACCAGTATCCATGTGTTGTGTTGTGTGTGTTTTCGTCCTATTTATTATGGCGACAGTCCGCCCATTTTTCGTGGTGAGACGTGTACTACACTTTTCAGCGTATGTATGTATGTATGTATGTAGAGTACTACACTTTCAGAGTATTTTTTCGTACAACAACTGTACTACAAACCATCCAGGGTCACACAGGAGGGGGTAAACACCAGGGCTTTTTCCTTCGTTTTATTTCTTTCTATGCCCCACCTTCCTCCTGCGATGCGTGCTGAATTTTATTTTTATCGCGAGAAGGGTCCAGTCGTCCGTTTCCCTCGTCAACGGTGCTAACGTCGAAGTTTGGTACTCACTAGAGCTTTTTTTTAGCTATATTTCGCCTTCACCCGCAAATTTCGTAAAGTTTTCACCCCCATCCATGGGGATTCGTACCACTAGACTAGACCACCGGGGCAACCGGTTAGTATGCTTGATCACGGTGAATGAGGAATGAATATTTCATGCGTTGTTTGCAGGCTTAGTCTAGATAACGCAAACTACTATTGTACCGAATCATCCATCCATCCATACAGGGAAAGATTATGTAAATTACTGGAGGTAGGTTCCTAGACTGCATCTCGTTCCATCTACTTTTCAGGGTATTTTAGTCTAGACTAGACTAGACCACACAACAGCAGTAGTAGTCTCATGTATAGTTCCTAGTGTCAAATTCCATTCATTGAGGACTTTAGGCACGAGAGTCGATCGCTCGCCCCAGAAGCAGCTGGAGAAGCATGGGTGAGAGCGGCGAGATGATGTGAACCAGGAAGCACTACATACAGTTACACTGCAGCTGCTGCAGATCCATGTAGGAAATGCGTGTATCTCGACAGTAGAACAGACAACAACAGACAACTAGGGCACAATAATAGTCTATACGCCACTACCACTAGCACCAACAACAACATGAATGCCACGATCTGCGCGCGTCCTGCTCATCATCTAATCACACCGCTGTTGTTGACTGTCGTCATCTCTCGAATGTTTAGTCTTTCTGCGTTTGTATTTATGTCTCCTTATGTCATGTGGAATGTAACCTTCAGAGACCAGATCATCCTGGGGACCCTCGGAAGGCGGACTGCGGGCAAGTTTTCTTGCTGAACGGTCTTGTGGGGCCCGCCCCTGGGCAACAAAAAATTTAATTTGTTGCTCTGTGGCGTTGTTGCTGCTGCTCCTCCTCCTGCCCCTGTCACCCACTCTGTTCTCCTCCTCTTCCTCCTCCTCCTCCTCCTCTTCCTCTTTCTCGTCGTCCTTCCTCTGCATCCCTTTCCCTCAACAAGTAGAGTAACGCAAGCTCGCTGCACCAGGTGGAGATTGCTCATCACTACTACAGCACTACAAGGACCCAGCAGTTAGTTTCATCCAATCAACGCCATGATGAAGTCGTCGTCTGTTGCGAGCTTGGTTGCCCTGGCTGGAATTCTGGGCCACACCACCATCACCAGCACGGAGGCGCTGCAGGTGCTCACTCCGGCGGTGGCTGAGGTGGTCGTGTCTGGGAGGTGAGCTACAATCGGTGTAGAACACTGCAGTTTGTAGTCTACAGCATGTGTCCTCGGACACCGTCGTACAGGCAGTACAACAGTCTAAATTCGTAACGGCGCACAAAACCGCCACACTGCTCTGTGTCCCAGACTGTGATGGCAGTGCCCTCCACCCGCAGTTCTCTAGCCCGCGCCCAACCAAATGCGAGGCACGTATACGGGACTTGACAAGTTGGCACGAGCGCAGTTGATCGAATGTACATGCTGCTGTTTCTCTCCCACTGCTGCTGTTTTATGTAGTCCCTCCCTCATGCCAACCAAGCCGAACATACAGTGTCCCGCTCTATTCGTCCTCGCGGCCCGCGTCTACTTTCATGTATACATCAGGCCGTATATCGTGTCGTGGAACGGCGCATCGGCGGATGACCGCTTCGAGATCGACCTGCACTACTGCGGCTCGTACTCCTACTGTTTCGAGGAGGTGAGATAATGCGTACAACAGGAAAGTAACCAGCTGGTGTAGACCAGTGTAGCCTGCCCCGTTCAGTAACAGCAGCATGGGACTTCGATTGCATTTATGTGGGGTCCAAACCACCCCCCCTCCCATGTGACCCCGGTCTTGTCGTCTAGCTAGTAGAAGTGGAGGATAGGGGCTAGAGGTGCAGAAGACAAAGTCCAATGATGGGAGAAAAAAAAAAATCCGCACGCACGCCGTAACTGCTGTAGTCTATACTACAAGAGCTGCCAAGAACTTTGAGCGTACCACCACCTAACATGCATGATATTGATGGCATTTCGCAACATCTTACCGTGGAAGTACATCACGTGATGGTTTGTATCACGACCCCTTCTTTTATGACCACGGAGCTCCTCCCCACCTCGGCAGAAATATGCTGTGGGTGCTACTGAAAAAAATATGGTGCAACCTGATGGACCATTTCTCACATCCGTCACCTCCAACGTACAGGCGGAGTGCGGTTTCTGGCTGGCAAACGTTTGCGCCGAGGGGGACGGCAGCGGCTGCATGAGCCAAGCCGACCAGAGCTCCCAGGTGACCTTCCCGGAGCCTCTCGGGGGACGCTCGAACGAGGGCTACAGGATCAGGATAGCCGAGGTCGGGTCGGATACGTACCGGTGTTCGGACGACTTCTACCTCATGTCTTCCGCGGACGCGCCGGCAGCCGGGGAGGAGGGGGGACCGACGATAGAGGTGGTTGCGCCGACAGCGGATGCTCTAGCTATCGCGGGGGAGATCTACACGGTGGAGGTGAGGGAGGGGAGGGGGGAAGTGCCGGAAGTGTCGCGATTGATTATGCAAACGGGTGTTGCGATTGATCTTGCGTGACAATAACAAAGTGTCCAGATTGATCTTACATGGCACCAGCGAGTGCCGATTGATCCTACATGACACATGACACAAATATATACGTGTCGCGACATGCTTTGTGCGTGTATCCCCCCTCCGCGACAACGACTCACGATACATCACCAAATCGTGCGTCCCCTTAACAATTGGTACAGTTCGACTACGACAACGGCTTCGGCGAACAGCTCGGGCGGTTCAAGATCGACCTCTACAAGGCGTGGGCGGAGGACGGAGCTGGAGACTGTGGCACCTGGGTCACCTCCGTCTGCGACAAGCCGGACGTGGGCTGTCTCGATAGCCGTGAGTCCTTCCTTGCTTTTGCCACACCATGCATAACACACGGGGGGGGGGGCGTTCACGTCAAACCACCTGGCTTTGCCGAGTCGTACTCTTAGTGACGTGGCACTCATGGCACACCGGTTGTCAATACCACCTGGAATTTGCGAGTAGCATGCGGTGGTAGGTGAACACAGCAGACAGCAGCGAACGCTCTTCCTGTCCTCCGCCCACCCTTTGTCTCGGATGGGCGGCAAGCACAGAACAGAGCGTGAGAAATACGAAAAATACAATTTCCAATGAATTTCGGATTCAGCCACATGTAGTCTAGTAGAAGCAACACAACGGCGTCGTCGTCGAACCACACCCCCACATTGAGTTGATATGATGCTTTCCATATTGACAGAACCCCACAACATTATTGTCAAATGCCCCTTGCTCCTATTTGTTGTCTGCCTCCCTCACCTTCACCCCCCCCCCCTTATTGTTGCAATGACCTCGCTGACCTCCACCCCCCACCCCTCCCTCGGCCTCATCGCCAACCCTCTGGGTGAATGTGTATGCGCCACAAACAACGACAACGCAGAGGGAGACTACAACGTAGTGATCCCGGCCGACTCGGAGGACGGCATGTATAAGATTCGCGTCGGTCTGTTCGGGGACGACACCATCTACGCGTGCTCGCCGTCCTTCGAGGTCGTCGCCTCGACGACCTCGTCGTCTGGCGCCGCTACCGACGCGGCGGGGGCGGCGGGGCTCTGGGTGGACTCGGCGACGTCACTATCGCTGCCCAAGGTCTTGCTTCCCTAGGTCACGAGAACAAATAATCAAAAGTGTGGTTCTTCCGAGATTTGTGTCGATAGACGGGGCGGGGGCTCCGGATGGACTCAAAAAAGAGGAGGCTGGAAGTAACGAAAAAGTGTATAATTATGACGATGTAGACTTCGGTTCGTCAGCTCTGGACATATAGATTCGGCTTGCTTCCAGAAAATTTTGTGACTTCTGTTTGTTGATTCTCCTTGGACCTTCCTTGGAAGGGCACGGAGTCAACGCGGGCATCTGGTTTGTGCATTTGTGTTCTGTTTTGGAGTGATGCATATCTGTTGTATGTTCCCACGTGTGGTGCTGTGTTTCGATCGTTTGGGGCGTTATGTTCCCTGTCAGCAGTTAGTTAGTTGTTTAGGTTTGAGCTATAGGCAAGTATAGGCAAGCACGAAGTGTTGGGTTCCATCTCACCAGAACGGTGGCTGACTTCAGATTGGTCGGGGACGCCTCCTGCAGCAGGAAAGAAAACTCCTGTAGCAGGAAGAGGGCCATAGTCGTTCATCTTCTCGTACGTATGTAATTGAATTTCATACAGTCATGCGTAAGAGAGCGACAGGCAGGCAGAATGATCTGTGGCGTTTGGTTTGTGTATCCATGTCGTCGCCCTCGTATAGGGTATTTTTTGTGCGCGAGTTCATAAGAGTTATGTTGGCTATTCCGTACCGTAGTACCGTAGAGAAGCAACACGGTAACCGTTACTTGTTTCAGCACAACGTACGTACTGGGGTACTGTGCGAATGGCTCGTCGTATCGTTTGGTTCTGTTGTTGGTTCGAGGGGGGTTGGTTATTTAATTGTCGGTCTGGATAACTTTATTATCTTGGTTTTTGTGGGTGGGTGTTTTTTCGAGAGGGCGAGGAAATCAGGCGTTGTCGATCATGCTGTTGCGATTTATCTGTCGCTGGTTAAGTTAAATAAAATGCCTGCTGCCTTGATGAGGTTGGAGAAATAAATAATAACACAAGAACAAATTTCTCAAGCTACTACTACTGCGCTTTTGGCCTGCTGCCTGGTGGCCTCTGCGGAAAACGCGGGTTTCGTGGGCCGTGGATCCACATTACATACAGGCCATGGTGCCTACCACGTACGTACGTGTGTGCGTGCGTATGCTCGTCGTGGTAGTACACGCGGTGGTGGTCATCGTGTGTGGCGGCATCATACCAACCACCACACGCACCCACCGCCCCGGTGGTCTAGTGGTATCATCGTAATCCGCTAGTCGAGAGGTCGTGAGTTCGAATCCCCATGGGGTGAAAACTTTACGAAATTTGCGGGTGAAAGCGAAATAAAGCTAAAAAAAACTCTCGTGAGTATCAAACTTTGACGTTAGCACCGTTGACGAGGGAAAGGGACGGCTGGACCCTTCTTCTCGCGATAAAAATAAAATTCAGCACGCACCGCAGGAGGAAGGTGGGGCATGAAAAGAAATAATACGAAGAAAAAAGCCCTGNAATCCCCATGGGGTGAAAACTTTACGAAATTTGCGGGTGAAAGCGAAATAAAGCTAAAAAAAACTCTCGTGAGTATCAAACTTTGACGTTAGCACCGTTGACGAGGGAAAGGGACGGCTGGACCCTTCTTCTCGCGATAAAAATAAAATTCAGCACGCACCGCAGGAGGAAGGTGGGGCATGAAAAGAAATAATACGAAGAAAAAAGCCCTGCCTGGTGTTTACCCCCTCCTGTGTGACCCTGGATCGTTGTAGTTGTACGAAAAAATACACCTAAAAAAAGTGTAGTACTCTACGTACGCTGAAAAGTGTAGTACACGTCTCACCACGAAAAATGGGGGGACTGTCGCCAAAATAGGACGAAAACACAACAACACACATTACCTACCTGCTTGCTGAGTTGCACCCAATTCACGGTTGGTCGTGGAGTTGGTCGTGGAGCAAGACCACCACTCAGTACGAATAACCAAACATAATAGCATAAACACTTGATAACGAACCGATTCTCCTCCTCTCATCTCTCTTTACGAAGAAGAAGCTGGACGGAGCTACCTCACGGAGCTACCTCATCGACGGGTTGTTTGTTGCTGTGACGAGGAAATTTTTTCTGGTTTCGACGACAGAAATGATGAGCCTGTCTCACGCCATCCACGCCATCCACAAGGAACGCCCAATTGGGAACGGTGTGCATCCATTCATTCTTCTTCGCGACGACGAGCGAGCGTCAAACGGAGTGTGCCGTGTTCGCTGTCGGGGACGACAACGACTGTTGTTTTTTGTCGTTGCTGCAATCAGAGCCGCCACCTGCCACCCTCAAGTCGTCAGCCTTGAACTCGGCGACCCATCCTGCCAATTGCCCAGTGCACCCGGGAGCCGTAAGCGGTAGTAGGTGGAAGGAGGCCCCTCGCCGTAGAGTGGCGGTAACCCCCCCCCGCTAACCCTACCGGCAGACAACTTCCTTGCGATATTCCGTACCACATTCGGCGCCACTTTCCTCACCATATCCCATAACATCACCTTTCGCACTACCACCTCTCTCGCCGGCCTCGGTCTCTCTCTTCTTGCCTTGAACCTCCTTGCCGTCTTCTCCCATCTCCTTCCTGCTGAGCAGTGTGCGCTAGAGCCCCCCCCCGCCCCCGTTGGTTCTGCCGCTGCCGCCATCGCCACCGCCGCCGCCGCAGCCGCTACGGTTTCCCGTGATGACGGCGTTTGTGCCAGCGCCCCCGACGCCGTGTTGGTGATCCTTGATGGCCTTTTTGCCGCCGCCGCCACCGCCGCCGCCGTGCTTGTCACTCTCCCGCTCCAGTCGTAGCTGCTGCTACCTTTGTCACCGGAAACACTTGTAGCGCTCCTCGCAACGCGTGTTTCTCTGCCCTCGCTGCCGCGAGAGGCCTCTGGAATTCCCTGAATGCCGTTGGTAGTGCTAGCGGCGCCGTCCGGACAGGCTCGACTGCCGCTCGCCAAAGCGGTGGTACCAGCGGCGCCGAAGGTGGCCTTGTTGCCGCCGCCGATGCCGTCCATCATCATCACGAGGGCCACGGTCACGGCTAATGGTATCAGCCACGCCACTAGCATCGACGGGGTACGGGAGGAACGCGGGGCCGCTGCGAACGCCACGAGGAAGGAGCAATCTTCGCCCATCCAAGCGT